CTCAGTGTGCACTTCCTGTTAATCCGGCCGGGTACAGGAGACAGCTGCTCTCTGTACCCGCGGACCATGCTGCAGTGAGGGAGCTGACAGGAGGGATCGCTGAGCGCTCCCTCCTGTCAGCCTCTCCCCATGCTGCGCCCGGGCGGTGCGGTCCGCCCTCATGGACGCACCGCCCGGGCAAAGTTGCAGCCGCCTGAGGCTCTTTACAGAGCGCTCGGGCAGCTGCAGCATGGGGGGGGGGCGGCGGGGCTGGCCATGGCACCCCCCACCCGGCTGGCACCCGGGGCGGACCGCCCCCCCGCCCCCCCCCTTAGTACGCCACTGGTGGGGTGTTCCCGGTATGCAGTAGTTAGTACCTACCAAAAGGGTCATGGGCACCCAAACCTCCAAATTCCCCAGTTCTCAATCTCATTGATCGTCTATGGGATGTGCTGGGACAAGAAATCTGATCTGTGGAGGCCCCACCTAGCAACTTGCAAGATGTAAAGATTCTGCTGCTAATGTCTTAGTTTCAGATTCTACAGGACATGTGTAGAGGCCTTGTGGAGTCCATGCCTCGATGTATTAGACCTGTTTTGGCAGCACGGGGGGAACCTCCATGATATTAGGCAGGTGGTTTTAATGTTGTGACAGATCAGTGTACTTTTAACCTGCTTGCTGAACAAAATAAGCTTGTATAATACTGTGAAACCTTTGAAATATTGTATTTGTTTTGCTAAGTTATATCACATGACTACATTGGAAATAAATAGTTTTTTAAAGGAAATGCTACAATCATTTTTCTTCCTCAGATATGATTAGTATGTCTGGGGATAGCTAAAACTACAAAAAACATGACTAAAATAGCTGTTATGTGAATTCTCAGGTCAAACCTGACTGCAGTCAGTGATGTGTTTGACTAAACACATCATAAATGGTCCAAAATCAAACTTCTGTTTTTTGTCATTTGCCTGAAGGACTATTTTAGGCAAAGTAAGCTGATGTCTATAAAGTGTTGCTCAGATTTATTTTTTACAACTACAAGGAACAAAATATCATTATGGATGTTCACACAGACATTGGAATAGACTGCAGGTATTGTATGTTCAAAGATTTACTTAGTCTTACATATTTATTGGTAACAATTTGTACAAAAAAAAAGCGTGTATGTCATTTAATTTTATTTCCATGTAAAAACACTGTAATGTATTTTTGTCAAATAAAATTAATTAAAATAACTAAACACATAGTTTTCTAAATTATAGCTATATGACATTATATTTCATACAAAAAAACATTTGCTCTATTTATTTTAAATTAAATTTAACATAGAGAAATGCAAAGTTATGCACTTCGAGGTTAAGAATGCACAAGCAATTTACACCCTAAATGGTAGTGAACTAGGGATAACCACACACGAGAAGAATTTGGGAATTGTTATAGACAACAAATTAGGCAGCAATATGCAATGTCAATCTGCAGTTGCTATGGCCAATAAGGTTTTGTCATGTATAAATAGGGGCATAAATTCTCGGGATGAAAATATAATTTTGCCTCTTTATAAAACACTGGTAAGACCACACCTTGAATATGCTGTGCAATTGTGGGCGCCTGTTCTAAAGAAAGATATCATGGCACTAGAAAAAGTCCAGAGACAAGCTACAAAATTTATAAAAGGAATGGATCATTTTAGTTATGAAGAAAGGTTAAAAAAATGTAATCTGTTTAGTTTGGAAAAACGGCGCCTCAGAGGGGGATATGATAACTTTATACAAATATATTCAGGGCCAGTACAAACCTTTATCTGGAAATCTTTTCATAAACAGGGCTATACATAGGACACGAGGTCACACATTTAGGCTGGAAGAAAGGAGATTTCATCTAAGGCAAAGAAAAGGTTGAGTAGAATGTTGGGGTGGTATAGGAATGTTGTGTTTGAATGTTGCAGACAGGATTTAGATTTGTTGTGCAATATAATATTTTTATCATATGATATAACTTACTATAAACAAAATTATAAAATATGATGAAATTTTGTTTTTAAAAAAAAAACATACTTTTTCTAACTTTGACCCCCAAACTCTGTTACGCATCTACAACCGCCAATACAAACCCATGATAGTTTCTAAATTTTGTCCTGAGTTTAGAAATACCCAATGTTAACATGTTCTTAGCTTTTTTCTTTTTGCAAGTTATAGGGCAATAAGTACAAGTAGCACTTTGCTATTTCTAAACCATTTTTTTTTTTCTCAAAATTAACACAAGTTACATTATAACACTGATATCTGTCAGGAATCCCTGAATAACCCTTCACATGTATATGTTTTTTAAAAGAAGATAACCTAAGGTATTAAACTTGGGGTATTTTGACTGTTTTCATGCTCTTTTCATGCAACCATTTTACCACCAATCTATGCCAAATTTAAAAAAATAAAATAATTGGTGATTTTTTTGACACACATAGCAACTTAAGAATACATATACTGAGTACTTTATGGGATACTGCCAAAGAACAGCCCAATATGTGTTCATTAACATCTCCCGAGTACAATGA